TGTGGTCACACAGGAACTGGTGAGATGGGCTGCATATGGAGATGATAGAAAGTGCTGCAGCCCTGTGCCAGCCAATGGTAGAGGAGAGCAGGATGTTGTGCAGAGCTGAGGTAAGAATGCAGGATAGAGCACACCGCAGCGTTTCTGTTTGAAATGACAGGATGGAAGGAATGCTTGTGATGCTACTGATTTTCTGTCCTCCTCCTTTGTCTTGGAAAGACAGAGGTCCAGATGAGAACACAAGCACACGATGGATGCTCCTGGCTGGTGCTGCACAGCTTGGGAGGTGAGATGTGTTCCATTTTCGACATGGACAACAGTACAGATATATGTTATCAAAAGAAGAGCAGCATTGCTGCAATGTGGGAACGAGCTACTGGCAACTGCCATTGTGATGCCATTGGCATGTCACAATGGCTAGAATTCTGACAGACTCATGTGTCACACAGGTTCTGCTAGCTCGGCCTGCCTAGGGAGAGCACAGAAAGAGCTGCAGCCCTGTGCCAGCCACTGGTAGAGGAGAGCAGGATGGTGTACAGAGCTGTGGTAAGAGGGCAGGGCAGAGGGCATGGCAGCGTTGGCTGTTTGAAACGAGAGGATGGAAGGAGTGGTTGTGATGCAACTGATTTTGTGTCCTCCTCCTTAGTCTTGGAAAGCCAGAGGCCCAGAGGAGAACACGTCCTGACCATGGATCCTCCTGACCTATGCTGGAGAGATGTTCCTCTTTCAACATGGACATCAGTACAGAGCAGTTTAATCAAACTAACAGCATTATTGCTGCAATGTGGTTTCCAGCAACTGGCAACTGCCACTGTGATGCCATGAGCATGTCACAGTGGCTGGAATGCTGACAGATCCATGTGTCACATAGGTATTGGTGAGATGGTCTGCATAGGGAGATGATAGAAAGAGCTGCAGCCCTGTGCCAGCCACTGGTAGAGGAGAGCAGGATGGTGTACAGAGCTGAGGTAAGAGGGCAGGACAGAGGGCATGGCAGCGTTGGCTGTTTGAAACGCCAGAATGATAGGAGTGGTTGTGATGCAACTGATTTTGTGTCCGCCTCCTTTGTCTTGGAAAGCCAGAGGCCCAGAGGAGAACAGGACCAGACCATGGCACCTCGTGTCCTGTGCTGCGTTGCTGGAGAGATGTTCAGTTTCGACATGCACATCTGTACAAAGATATGTAAGCAAAAGAAGAGCAGCATTGCTGCAATGTTGCACCAGCTACTGGCATCTGCCATTGTGATGCCATGGGCGTGTCACAGTAGCTAGAATGCTCACAGATCCATGTGGTCACACAGGAACTGGTGAGATGGGCTGCATAGGGAGATCATAGAAAGTGCTGCAGCCCTGTGCCAGCCAATGGTAGAGGAGAGCAGGATGTTGTGCAGAGCTGAGGTAAGAGTGCAGGATAGAGCACACCGCAGCGTTTGCTGTTTGAAATGACAGGATGGAAGGAATGGTTGTGATGCTACTGATTTTCTGTCCTCCTCCTTTGTCTTGGAAAGACAGAGGTCCAGATGAGAACACAAGCACACGATGGATGCTCCTGCCTGGTGCTGCACAGCTTGGGAGGTGAGAGGTGTTCCATTTTCGACATGGACAACAGTACAGATATATGTTATCAAAAGAAGAGCATTATTGCTGCAATGTGGGAATGAGCTACTGGCAACTGCCATTGTGATGCCATTGGCATGTCACAATGGCTAGAATTCTGACAGATCCATGTGTCATACAGGTTCTGTTGGCACGGCCTGCCTAGGGAGAGCACAGAAAGAGCTGCAGCCCTGTGCCAGCCAATGGTAATGGAGAGCAGGATCGTGTACAGAGCTGTGGTAAGAGGGCAGGGCAGAGGGCATGGCAGCATTGGCTGTTTGAAATGAGAGGATGGAATGAGTGGTTGTGATGCAACTGATTTATGTCCTCCTCCTTTGTCTTGGAAATGCAGAGGCCCAGTGGAGAACACGTCCTGACCATGGATCCTCCTGACCTATGCTGGAGAGATGTTCCTTTTTCAACATGGACATCAGTACAGAGCAGTTTAATCAAACTAACAGCATTATTGCTGCAATGTGGTTTCCAGCAACTGGTAACTGCCACTGTGATGCCATGAGCATGTCACAGTGGCTGGAATGCTGACAGATCCATGTGTCACATAGGTATTGGTGAGATGGTCTGCATAGGGAGATGATAGAAAGTGCTGCAGCCCTATGCCAGACTGGTTCAGGGCAAGGAGGATGGTGTGCTGAGGTAGAGGTACGAGGTCAGGTCAGAGGGCACTGCAGGGTTGCTCTTTAAATCGACAGGATGAACGGAGTGTTTGTGATGCATCTTATTTTGTGTCCTCATCCTTTGTCTTGGAGAGCCAGATTCCTAGGTTTCAACATGACCAGACTCTGTTACCTCCTGTCCTCTGCTGCATTCTTCCGTCTCCCACGCAGATTGCTAGACATGAGGCACATTCATTTTGTTCGCTTAATGTGAAGCTCAGTTCCATTCTGCTGAATAAGTCATGTCACTTAATCAGTCTAATGCTGATGTTCAGGATCTAATAATCTGTAGCTTTGTAGTCAAAATCCAGCTGCAGAAATACCTGAAAATCACAATTTGCTGGATATCATGTTGCTGGGAATAATCTACTAGTGGTACTTGTGTTTGCAAGTCAGTCCTTTTTGTGTTGAAATTTTTGCTGCTATTATGACATACGGCAAAAGGAAACTGTCTTAATATTATAAATTCAAAAAGCTCTCTTTAATGATAACTATTGTAAAATGTGGAAAACCAGTAACGCTGTGTTTTCTTGCCAAATGAATGATTTGCATCATCTTATGTTGTGGCACATGTTTTATCTATTGTATATCCAGCAGAAACTACCTGGAGCCAAACAGCAGCAAAAACAAACTTTCAGTCTGCACTTCAGAAATATTTAGTCAGGATGCTCTCTTTGAAGATGCTTTTGGACTATATGTAGAGTTTATGAGATGTTTCAGTAATGTGACATGACCCTGGAGGCAATACAAGAAACATAATGCAAGAGATTGTCTTCTGCCAGATGGAGTTGTGCCTTACTTGCAGATATTTTCAAGTCTGATTATGAAAGACTAAATTAATCTAGGGATATTTGTCTAGCTTTGGGACAGAAATCATTTGGTCATTTTAATACCTGTTGATTGCTTTTTTTTTTTTTTTTTCCTCTTTTTTTCCCCCTCATTCTATTTGTGTTTATTTTAAATGTAATTCAGGGAGAAATGCATTCCATAAGAAGATGCAGGTATATAAATTAACATAACAGAGCTTCAGTTCTCTAGATTCTATGAGTTATCTGTCAGTCCCAAAGACTACCATAATATGTGATACTGTGGACTGTGAATTGATAAAATCAAGGAAAAAACCTATTTAATGTGGGTAAGTAATAGCATTGTGTCAGGGCAAAATGGAATGAGGCATACTGGTAAAGTAACCTTACAAAGAATTGTAGAGGATTCGTACCAGTGCTGGGAAGGACTACAGGAGTAATAAATAGAAAATATGACCAGTGGTGATGAGGGCTGACAACAGGATACAGCTGGAAACATTTTCCTTTTAATAAACAGATAATTAATGAGGAGGAGTAGGCCTTGATAGTCTATGAAAATTGGAAAAGCTTCTGTTTTATGCAAAAGAAAACTATTGGGAACTTTGAAATCATTGAACTGTTTCTTCTATTCTTGAGGCCAGATGAAAAGATGTGGAGAAATTGACATGAGAGAGCCCTAGGTGAGCATGTTAGTTATGCAAATAGTTACTTATGCAGAGGTAATCTGCAAGGAGTTTAGGTATAGGTTGGATGTGAGAAAAGGTATGGGAATCCAAACCAGCTAAAATGATAGGTGAAGGTAAAGTGTACAATTGAAGTGTTATGAAGAAAGGAAATGAAGGAGAAGATTTACAGGGAGAAAATGAGGCTTGTGCTGGGCTACCATTCAGAGTAAACTCCTCCTGGAGATCAATAACTGCCTGGCAGAGGACTGCACTAAACTAATTTGAAAAAAATTACAGTTAGTTTAATCAGAAGGATTGAGATCAGTGAATTTTTAGCATAAGGAACACTGCTGAGTTCTGTGTAGTCTGTGGTGAAATTTATCAGAGATGAGAGGCAGTGAAAGAGGAACAAGAGGATCAAGGACAGCATCTCCTTAGCAAGAGACAATACTATGAAGTACCTTTTAAAACATACAAGAAGAGAGATTTCTGGGGAACTAGATGAAGCTCTCATCAACATCCAAATCTGGAATAGTACAGGTAACCAAGTCAAGAAGAAGAAATAGGAGAACAAGTAAGAAACACTGCTTCTGGCTTCTCATAAGAAGTTGGTTGAGTGTGTTTTGATGAGAATTATTTTCTTGGCAGTAGAATGAAATGCTTTAGTTATATAAAGTATTTGTAAAGTTTATGTCTCTGATGGAAGAGAAAAAGGAAACAGGTTGAGGGTCAAGTTGATGCCTAAAATTAAATCTGTACTTGACTATAGTAGTTTGCATCATAGCTTAGTTGAGGAAAATCCTATTTTTAGAAACACTTATATATACAAGCATAGAAGAGATCTACATGATTTGCTTTAGAATGTGGAGCTGACACAAACAAATGCTGTGAATAATTCACAAAATTTATGCTCTTCACAAAGAGAAATAGGAAGCAAGTAATATATATCTTCCACATTGCCTTTGCAAGGCCTTTTGGCTTACAGGGTAAACTCATTTCCTTTTCCTGCCAAAAATGCATATCCATGCATGTCAAGAAAAAGTTTTATCCCTGATACACCAACATTCAGTATCTGCTTGTCACAAAATCTGCAAAGTCACTTCATATATTTACACCAAATTTTGTTTTCTGGCATTGTACAACTTCTCCTCACTTCAATGGTTTCTAAGATGATCATGTTTTGAATATTGTACAGAAAAATCTAGTGAGTGTATTCTTTGGGCACAAAGTGTATTTAATCAGTGTATATTCTGAAGTACTAGTAATTAGTGTGTCAGTGCACAGAAGAATTTGAAATACTAAATACATGCTGAAGCTTATCATTAACTAAATTACTTCAGTGACACTGGTGCAAGTTTGTTTCCATTTTAACTACCAGGGCATGCTATGTTTGGTGCAAACTAATGATATAGTTGCATTTGGAAAAAAAAGTAAAAACTCATTTTTCTTATTTTAATGATTTCAACCAAGGCATACAAGCAGTTTTTGTTGTTGTTGTTGTTTGGTTTTTGTTTTTGTTTTTGTTTTTTTTTGGCAGATATTATTTTTCATTGTGAGAATACCTAGACTTTTCATAGATGAGGTACACTGCTGGAATATTAATTTTGGGATTTGTGAGATTTCTGAGCAGCATTCGCTTTTTAGAATGTGTAACTTCTGAATACAAACTGCATGAAGAAGAAGTACTATCCCTTGGAATAATAATGACAAACTATCCCCTATTCTGGTAATGTTTTCACGTTCAGAAGGTATATGCCTCAGCAGTATACTGGTTAAAATGCTCCTTGTATACGAATTTCATTAGAGATTGTTTATTAGAGTTTGTTAATTAATTCATACAGTTACTTTAGAAAATTTTGGTAAGTGAAACTTCACTTTTCTATTATTAAATTCTGAGCTATATTTTCTGCGAGTATCAACTGCTTTGAAATTTGTGATTGATCTGTGATCATTTTTCTTTTTTTGTAGCTTAACTACTATTTTAGACTTTATGTTTAAATTATTTCCTTGGGGACTGCATGAAATTTCAAATAAAAATGCATTCTAATTCATGCTCACTTTTAACTTAATGATTCTTTCTCTTCACCATTATGTTCCCATGTCTATAAGCATTCTGATAAGTTGGAGACTAGAACTATGTAATATATGCACACCTAAAGGTAGATTCTCTAACCATTCTTGAATTATATCATAGAAACAATTTGGCACATCTCATGATCAGTTAGTTACTTGTTATGTCTCGTATAAAAAAAAAAAAAACCAACAACATTTGAAAAGCCTTTTGTTCCTTTTCATCACACCCTAACTTTTCATAGTCTTTCCTGTATAACCGTACTGCTGTGAATGTGTCTGTGTGTCTCCCACCTAGTAACTTCTGAATGTGCTTATCAACTTCAAACAGATTTGACAGGGGAGAGAACTGTGGAGAAAGGAAGCTTAATTTCTAAAATATAATTAACATCCCTGAAATGCCATCAAAGTTGGTGGCTGGGAAGACAAAAATAAACTTTATTAGTATTCCACTGAGGAAAAGTTTAGTCAGAGCCCACAATTTACACACTGAAAAAAAAAAAAAAACAAAAAAAAACAAAAAACCAAAAAACGTGTAGGAGAACATATTAACTTATGGAAGAAAGCTTCGCTTAGAGCTTTCCACTTCTTAGATGGAAAGTCAATCAAAGTTAATGCAAATTTGTTAGACACAAATTGGTAGGAAATTAGGCTTCATTACTTCCCAGTGTTCACAGACCTGCTTGTCAGTAAGGGTGAGACTGATCTCACCTCACCTTTCCATTCTACAGCATTGAGATCTTTATTTCAACTAATTGCTTCTAGCTCTCATAAGATTCAGTAGAGAGAAATAAGTTTTGGAGGCTAATTCATTTCATCCTAATATAAAAATGTAATGGAAGGCAAACTGTGTTCTAGAAAGATTGGTAGCTCAGATTTAGGCTTGTACAAATGTGTCCCACAACGCATAACTTTTTACCACATATTAACTTTTTAAGGATAACTGTGGTTAAGGGCATGAAGGAGTGTGTAGTGTTAAAGATAGGATCATTAGACAAAACAAACATATTGGGTAATGAAAAGCAGAGGCAGCACTCAAATTCAGGAAGATGCAGAGAGGAATGTTTAATGAGGAGGGACTGCAGCCAAGAACTTCTGTATAAGGAACAGATGCTGTAGTAATAGGAGTAAGATGGTTTGGCTAGAGTGTTTTGTTCATCTGCTTATAGTTCATTAGAATTAAGCGTAAATTGATTGCTTGCATCTTTGGATTTTAAAGAAACAAGTAGCTGATCAGTCACCCTACTACTCCCTGAAATGAGAGCACTCAAAACAGCATGGTTTTGAGACTGGACTTAAAATCTCCTTTCTTATCTGATTCTGAGTTTCCCTATCCGGAGAAGCAAATCTTCAAATCCTCTTGAGTGTTTTTGGCTGATTATCGCCACTCCTGGCTTTTCTGACTACTGTCAGACTAAGGGTTTTATGGGTTGGTGTGAGGCCAACATTGTCCCCAGCAGAGCATATGAGCTGTATGTCCAGGAATGGGGTTTGAGCTCATAAAAAGCAGGGCGAAAAAAAGTCATGTTCTGCCAAACTGTCTTAAGCTAAAGATAAGTGAATTAGTGGAAAAGGGGAATTGGAGAAGGGAGCAAGTGCAGCCTAATATGAAAGTGATTGTAAGAAGAGTATTTGTGAAATAACTGTTCACTTTCATACATTTTGTCATTTGATTCAGAGAGATGCAAAGCCAAACTGTCTTGAGACAGTTTCTCGGTTTTATTTCATAAAATTTGTATGTAGTTTTTGTTATTGAGCAAAGCATATCTGAACTCTTACATGTCATTCTGCTGGTATTAATAGTTTTTTGTTATCCAAAGAGTCACTACTTTTTGCAGCTTCACATAGTTATTACATCAAGTGCCTAGCGTGCAGTTGATTACAACATGCTAAATTTGATTAGACAGTATCATTACTGAACAAGGGACTTATTCAGAGAATATAAAAATTATAAAGTGATTTTGTACGTAAATAGAGTACTTTGATAATCAACAGAATTAATAAGGAAGTGCTTTATTGAAAATATTTACTCGGAGAAATCTTGTATCTTTAAACATTATTTTACAAAACAATTTATATGAGTTGCAAACACAAGGGTCACTTAAATGGCAGAAAGGGACACAAAGACTTGGAAATCCCGAGAACACTGGTGGTTTGAACATTACTTATATTTGCCTATGAACTTTGACTAATAGGCCTTCTTGAGAGAAATTATATTAATTCACCTCAGCTAATCTCACTTTACCCTTGTTTCATGTTTGCTTGATGCCAAAGCATCATACAGAAATTCAGAATTACATCAGAGTCATACTTTTACATGACATTTCATTTTTTTTCAGAAAACTTCATATTTTAATAGAAATAAGAAGATGGGCTTCCCTCTGTTACTAAATAAGAGGTCAATCTCCCCTTGTGTATAGCAAGATGGCCAGATGAAAGAAAGATGTAATATTTGTATTATCTTCATTATAATGCATTTGAAATAAGAACAACTCAAAGTAGTTGTATAGTATATTTACTATTCTCAGGATAGTAAATATAGCTTTATTTTCTTGCGAAAGCCATTGTTTCTTACATAAAAAAATGTGGTTGTATTAACTATATCTTTTATTTTTTTTATTACTTTAACTTAGTAGTCGTTTTTGGTAACCTAAAATTATTATGATGCCTGCACTCAGGGGCATTGAGCAAGGCATACATTAATCTAAGCAACGTTACATTTCTATATGTCAATTGAATAATAATTTCCTGGTCAATATTTGCAGTTGTTTAGCTTCAGTGGAAGAGGTTACTTAAATAGGAACAGTGAAATTTTATGCTTATATGTAGCAGTTAGATAGGCTAAAATGGCAATGGTTATTTAACAATATTAATTTGAAACTGATAGTGACTAAGACCTACTTTTTGGGAAAATAAAAATAAAGTAATATATACATCTTGTGGTAGGTTTACTATTTCAGTAATAGACAAAACACTGTTTTGTGAGAAATGTCTGTATCAGAGAAGTCTGGAATATACACAGTTGCTCTATCATAAATTTAGGTAAGCCTCTTATTTACTTTCTCAGAACCATCTAATTGTCAAAGTGATTTTCTGTTACACTGAACGTCTCAAAAAACACAGAAGCAACAACTAAATATTGCAAAACCTATTTTAGCAGCCCTGACATATTCATTTTTGCACTGTGAATCTCGCTTGTTTTGTATTAGTCCATTTCATTAGTTGAATGTGCGTATCAGAACCTTTCAAACATTTCATGAAAACAATTCACTGCCAGCAACATAAAGGTTTTCTATTTGTACTATAATCTGTACCCGAGTCTCTTAAAGTACTGTTGTAGAAGATGTAGTTCATTGATTTTTTTTCTCTTCTAGTTGTCTGTGGTGATATTAATCTTCTTACCTTCAAACTCACAGCTATGCTTCACTGGATAGATTTATAGTAGAGGAATAAGTATGGGTTTTGTAATGAGCTGAGTCAATTTCATATAGTTCTGTTCCTTAAGCTTTAGAATGATGTGAAGCTTTCATACCAGATTCAAAAGCAATGAATTAAGGATCGAACTTGTTTTGGGGTCAATCTGGCAGATGTAGAGAAAAAATGCATTTCTAAAAGACGATGGTCCATCTGAGGGTGACATGAAGCTGTGATAAATTCAAGAAGTTACTAATAGAGCATCATGAATCTTTACACCACAGTTAATCTTGTGTCGTAGTTCTTAGCAAGCAAGAAGGGAACCACTCTGTCTATATAGAATGTGTTCCCAGAATACACTTAATGAATAGAAAGACTTGTCTGCCTGTAGGACATTTCAAGTTAAAGCACCAATGTATGGACCCTTAGGGACTATTTAGGTACTCAAATGTTCTTGACAGTTTTTCTCTTTAATTTCAACATTAGTGGACCATGAACTCATGTGAACTGAAACTATTAAAATTTAACAGTAGAATTTTCAAGAATGTGTGCAAATTTAAATTTGCAAAATTTATTTCAGCTCAGTTTAGTGTACTGGTAAACATTTGTCTAGCTGCACCCTTGCAGCCAGTAAAAATAAGTTTGGTCTCTTTGGAGCACGAAGTTTAGAAACAAGAGTAAGTATGTCACATTGAGAAAAATGAGAAAATATGAGAAAAAATTCCTCAGATGAAAGATTAACAAAAACCCAGTCAATGGCATACTGTTTTTGCCAAGATGCAGCATATAATATCACTCATCATATATAGTCATAACAACACTACCTGGCAAAGAATGGAGTTGTTACTTTGAATGTAAACTTTCATAGTTTTGATAGCTTGCACTGGAGATTTAACCTTGTGTACTGTGGTATTTTTGAGAACATCTATTGATGAAAAAGAGAAAATACACTCTTTATGGAATATACAGATAGAATTATTGATACAGTAGTAGGTATAAATCA